AGACAAATACCTTTTTAATTATAATTATAATTATTAATTATAGGGTTGTTGTAGGTTTTTCCGGGCTGTATGGCCATGTTCTGGAGGCATTTTCTCCTGACGTTTCGCCTGCATCTATGGCAAGCATCCTCAGAGGTAGTGAGGTCTAGTGATGTAAACTACAACAACCTATTCACACCTAGCTCCAGCAGACAAGAGTCCTTTGTCCCACCCTGGTCATTCCACAGATATATAAACCTCTTTTCCTAGTTCCAACAGACCTCACTACCTCTGAGGATGCTTGCCATAGATGCAGGCAGAACGTCAGGAGAGAATGCCTCTAGACCATGGCCATATACCCCGAAAAAACCTACAACAACCCATTGGCAAAATCATATTTGAATACTAGGTTGTTGTAGGTTTTTTCGGGCTATATGGCCATGTTCTAGAGGCATTCTCTCCTGACGTTTCGCCTGCATCTATGGCAAGCATCCTCAGAGGTAGTGAGGTCTGTTGGAACTAGGAAAAAGGTTTATATATCTGTGGAATGACCAGGGTGGGACAAAGGACTCCTGTCTGCTGGAGCTAGGTGTGAATGTTTCAACTGACCACCTTGATTAGCATTTGATGGCCTGGCAGTGCCTGGGCAATCTTTTGTTGAGAGGTGATTAGATGTCCTTGTATGTTTCCTCTCTGTTGTAAGCAAAGTCCACACAACCATAATATACGGTTGTTGTAGGTTTTTTCAGGCTATATGGCCATGTTCTAGAGGCATTCTCTCCTGACGTTTCGCCTGCATCTATGCCAAGCATCCTCAGAGGTAGTGAGGTCTGTTGGAACTAGGAAAAAGGGTTTATATATCTGTGGAATGACCAGGGTGGGACAAAGGACTCTTGTCTGCTGGAGCTAGGTGTGAATGTTTCAACTGACCACCTTGATTAGCATTTGATGGCCTGGCAGTGCCTGGGGCCATCTTTTGTTGAGAGGTGATTAGATGTGCCTGATTATATATTATTATTGATCTTAATCAATCTTAGCTATAGATGTGGGCAAAACGTCAAGAGAGAATCACTGGGTTGTTGTAGGTTTTTTCGGGCTTTGACTCAAGTATAAGCCGAGGGCAGCTTTTTCAGCCTAAAAAAAAGGGCTGAAAAACTAGGCTTATACTCGAGTATATACAGTATTTCATTATTGATGGTTTTTATGACAGAACCAATTAGGAACTGCCATTTATAATGAAATTTTGAAAGTTTTGTTAGAGTTCTGAAATTTTCACCACCAGAACTTTAGCAACACTGTAGAAGCAAAGCACCAGCGCCCCCTAGTGTTCACCACCAGAACTTTAGTTTTGCAAGTACTTTAGAACCATGGATTGCACAGGCCTACTGTTTTCCTCCCTTAGGATTGCGGCATTCAAGAAAATGTACAGCTCTCAGAAATGGAAACAAGTCTCGTTCCCAAGTGCAAAAATGGCTAGCGGCGAAGGAGAACATTGCATCAGAAACGGTCAGTAAAATCTGGGCACAAAGTTACAAACTGACCAAAGGGAAAATAGAAAAGATAGTTTCGAACACTGGAAGACAGGCTTTTGTAAAAGCAAGGGTAAAATACCAAGAGGAAGGGAGGCTTCTTGTGTACGTCACAAAAATACCGATTGCCAAAACATTTCCCGAATTAGAAAACGCACAACAGGAGATACAGCAGCGATAGGAATCAGAACAATAATGGCCTCGTTTAGAAGAAAACGTACGAAACCGTCATTGCAAAAGCACGACAGCCTTTAATGTCTCAAGAAACCCAATGAGGACTGTTCTGTCTAAAAAAACCTTTTATATGTTGTCATCGGAACTACAAAATTTGTGAAAAGAGCATGTTTTGCACGCACTGGTTCATCCTGCTCTTGCCTAGGCTTGTGTGCGCTAGTGACGACAGAGGGAGACCTAGTTTTTTTGTTCACCTGATAGATTAAAGGGAAATACAGTGTTCCCCCGCTATTTTGCGGTTCGCTTATTGCGGACTCACTGTTTCGCGGGTTTTTCTTCTCCCCCCTCGGAGCCACGGGGGGGGGGGTGCCAGGCGCTGGCAAATGGTGGGGACCGGAGATTGCAGGGGCCTCGGCCGAGCCGCTACTGAGATGGGAAGAACTTGTCCAGTGGGGTGGCCCATGGCTCAGGCCGGATGAGAAAAAGAGCGAAGGAGAAGAAGAGCGCCCCTGAGCACTTTCAGCGGGTGGCGACAGCGCAGCAGCTGCAACTCCCTCCTCCTCCGCCTCTTCCTCCAAAGAAGGAAGAGCGGAGGAGGAGGAAGGAGTTGTTGCTGCTGGGCTGGAGGGAGGGCTCTTCTTCTCATCCGGCCTGGGCAACAACTCCTTCCTCTTCTGCCTCTTCTTCTGAGCAAGAGGAGGAGGAAGAGGTGGAGGAGGAGGGAGTTGCTGCTGCGCTGTTGCCACCTGCTGCAAGTTCTCAGGGGCGCTCTTCTCCTTTGCTCTTCTCATCCAGCCTGAGCAGCAACTCCTTCCTCCTCCGCCTCTTCTTCCGAGGAAGAGGAGGAGGAAGAGGCGGAGGAGGAAGGAGTTGCTGCCGCTGCTGCGTTGTTGCCACCCGCTGAAAGTGCTCAGGGGCGCTCTTCTCCTTCTCCTTCGCTCTTCTCATCCAGCCTGAGCAGCAACTCCTTCCTCTTCTGCCTCTTCTTCCGAGGAGGAGGAAGAGGTGGAGGAGGAAGGAGTTGCTGCAGCTGCTGCGCTGTTGCCACCCGCTGCAAGTGCTCAGGGGTGCTCTTCTCCTTCTCCGTCGCTCTTCTCATCCAGCCTGAGCAGCAACTCCTTCCTCCTCCGCCTCTTCTTCAGAGGAAGACGAGAAAGAGTTGCTGAAGCTGCTGCGCTGTTGCCACCCGCTGCAAGTGCTCAGGGGCGCTCTTCTCCTTCTCCTTCGCTCTTCTCATCCAGCCTGAGCAGCAACTCCTTCCTCTTCTGCCTCTTCTTCCGAGGAGGAGGAAGAGGTGGAGGAGGAAGGAGTTGCTGCAGCTGCTGCGCTGTTGCCACCCGCTGCAAGTGCTCAGGGGTGCTCTTCTCCTTCTCCGTCGCTCTTCTCATCCAGCCTGAGCAGCAACTCCTTCCTCCTCCGCCTCTTCTTCAGAGGAAGACGAGAAAGAGTTGCTGAAGCTGCTGCGCTGTTGCCACCCGCTGCAAGTGCTCAGGGGCACTCTTCTCCTTCTCCGTCGCTCTTCTCATCCAGCCTGGGCAGCAACTCCCTCCACCTCTGCCTCTTCCTCCTCTTCCTCAGAGATCCTTTGGGAGCCCAGGTCAGATGGGATTTGCTGCTGGTGCGCTGTCGCGACCCACTGCAAATACTCGGACGTGCTCTTCTTCTCCTTTGCTTTTCTCAGCCAGCAACAACTATAACTACTGAAGCTCATTCACTCAGCCTGGACCTCCCAAGGGGCCTCCAAGGAAGAGGAGAAGGAAGAGGCAGAGGAGGAGGGAGTTGCTACCTAGGTCAGATGAGAAGAGTGAAGAAGAGCACCTCTGAGTACTTGCAGCGGGCGCCGACAGCGCAGCAACTCAGGCCAAAAAGAAGAGGCAGAGGGAGTTGCTGCTGCTGCGCTGTCGGCGCCCGCTGCAAGTACTCAGAGGTGCTCTTCTTTTCCTTCACTCTTTTCATCCAGAATGGACTTCCCAAGGGGCTTCCGAGGAAGAGGAGAAGGAAGAAGCAGAGGAGGAGGGAGTTGCTGACCAGGCCGGATGAGAAGAGCGAAGGAGAAGAAGAGCACCCCCGAACACTTGCAGCAGGCGGTGACAGTGCAGCAGTAGCAACTCCCTCCTCCGCCACTTCCTCCGAGGAAGAGGCGGCGGAGGAGGGAGTTGCTGCTGTGCTATCACTGCTTGCTGCAAGTGCTCGGGGGCGCTTTTCTCCTTCTCCTTTGCTCTACTTATCCGGCCTGAGCTTCCCTACATTGCGGATTTTCACTTATCGCGGGTGGTCCTGGAACGGAACACCTGCGATAAGTGAGAGAACACTGTACTTGCACTTCATGGATTTTCACTTATTGCGGGTGGTTCTGAACGCAACACCCACGATAAGTGAGAGAACACTGTACTTGCACTTCATGGATTTTCACTTATTGCGGGTGGTTCTGAACGCAACACCCACGATAAGTGAGAGAACACTGTACTTGCACTTCATGGATTTTCACTTATTGCGGGTGGTTCTGAACGCAACACCCACGATAAGTGAGAGAACACTGTACTTGCACTTCATGGATTTTCAGTCATCGCGGGTGGTTCTGGAACGTAAAACCCGCAATAAGTGAGGGAACAGTGTATTTGCACTTTGTGGATTTTCACTTATTGCAGGTGGTCCTGGAACATAAAACCCGCAATAAGTGAGGGAACAGTTTATTTGCACTTCGCGGATTTTCACTTATCGCAAGTGGTCCTGGAACATAACACCTGCAATAAGTGAGGGAACACTGTATTTGCACTTTGCGGATTTTCACTTATCGCGGGTGGTCCTGGAACGCAACACCCACGATAAGTGAGGGAACCCTGTACTTGCACTTCATGGATTTTCACTTATCGCGGGTGGTTCTGGAACGTAACACCCGTGATAAGTGAGGGAACACTGTATTTGTGCTTTGGGGATTTTCAGTTAACACGGGTGGTCCTGGAGCGCAACACCCACGATAAGTGAGGGAACCCTGTACTTGCACATCATAGATTTTCACTTATCGTGGGTGGTTCTGGAATGTAACACCCACGATAAGTGAGGGAACAGTGTATTTGCACTTCACGGATTTTCACTTATCGCAGGTGGTCCTGCAACATAACACCCGCAATAAGTGAGGGAACACTGTACTCGCACTTCACACATTTAGTGAAATGCTTGACTCAAACTTTGTATAGATCAGAGATGCAACTGTTTCAACTCACGTGGATGAAAGGGGACAATGACAACAGTTCAGTCGTTTAGGTTCCAACGCTTATTTTCCAAAGATTGGGTATCTCACCGTTGGCAAAACCCTGCTCAATACTCAATGGCATATTTATTCAAAATATTTTTCAAAATATACAAATGCCTCTACTGTTTAAAAAAGTAAATCCATTCTCAAAGTGCATTCGATCCTATACAACTGTGTTCGGAGAAGCATAGTATTTGATGTGGCTTTTTCTTCTTCCTAAGCAGACCAAAGAGGTTCCCTTCTCAGAAATCGGGGTCCTCCTCCGGTTGGGCCACCTTGGCACTGCCTTCGCCCACTTTGTCACAGGTTGCTCATACCAAAGTGTAAATTCAGTTAAGACATCTCAAAAAATATATACACAAAAAGACGCTGAAGACATTCTAGCAACCTTCACTGCTACGAAATCACAGGCAAAGCAACACTTTTGGCCTGGATGCGATGGACACTTGGAAAGGAACGTGTCGCCCCCGTCATCCGCTCCGCCTGGCATGTATGTACCTTGCTCTTTAGTCCCGTGTCAGACGGAGGTGTGCACCGGAGTGGCCGCCGGGGAGGAGCCGCGGTCGGAGGAGGAAGAGATGGAGCGCGTGGCGGCTTCTCGCTGCAGCTCTTCCACCCGCTTCTGCAGCTCAGCTCGGATGGCCAGGAGCTCCTTCAGGTTCTGATGGATTGGCATCTGCAAGGGGTATTGGATACACAGCTTGTAATACTTACTATCTCTTTGAGAGATCCCTTAGGATTTGCTTACAACAGGTGTCGAGAAACTTTGGTCCTCCAGGTGTTTTGGACTTCAACTCCCACAATTCCTGGCCTCAGTCCCTTTCCTTTTCCCCCTCAGCCGCTTACGAAAGGGGCCTGAGGCCAGGAATTGTGGGAGTTGAAGTCCAAAACACCAGGAGGGAAGGCCCAAGTTTGGTACTTGAAACTCAGAGCACTTGGTACTTGAAACTCAGAGCACTTGAAAGCAAGACCATGATAAAATGACAACGTTGCCTCAACTGAGGCAACTCACTCACACGAATCATTATAAACACTCAGTGTTAAGCAGTGGAATTAAATATTGTGCTCTGTGTACAATCTGAAAATCCCCTAGGCAAAACTTAAGCTTGGCAAAAACTTGGTACTTGAAACTCAGAGCACTTGAAAGCAAGACCATGATAAAATGACAACGTTGCCTCAACTGAGGCAACTCACTCACATGAATCATTATAAACACTGGGTGCTAAGCAGTGGAATTAAATATTGTGCTCTGTGTACAATCTGAAAATCCCCTAGGCAAAACTTAAGCTTGGCAAAAACTTGGTACTTGAAACTCAGAGCACTTGAAAGCAAGACCATGATAAAATGACAACGTTGCCTCAACTGAGGCAACTCACTCACATGAATCATTATAAACACTGGGTGTTAAGCAGTGGAATTAAATATTGTGCTCTGTGTACAATCTGAAAATCCCCTAGGCAAAACTTAAGCTCGGCAAAAACTTGGTACTTGAAACTCAGAGCACTTGAAAGCAAGACCATGATAAAATGACAACGTTGCCTCAACTGAGGCAACTCACTCACATGAATCATTATAAACACTGGGTGTTAAGCAGTGGAATTAAATATTGTGCTCTGTGTGCAATCTGAAAATCCCCTAGGCAAAACTTAAGCTTGGCAAAAACTTGGTACTTGAAACTCAGAGCACCATGATAAAATGACAACGTTGCCTCAACTGAGGCAACTCACTCACATGAATCATTATAAACACTGGGTGTTAAGCAGTGGAATTAAATATTGTGCTCTGTGTACAAGGGATATCTGAAACATATACCCATTCTGTGTTTCGATCTGGGTCCCCTCCCTTCAGGATCTTGTTGTGCAAGGATTCCCGAGCATTTCAGACGAGGGATAGTCAACCTTGAGAAATCCTGAATTCTTTTGCAAGTGAACTAATTACAAACTATCTGTTGATGGTCTCCTTGAAGGATCTTCTGGGAACTTCTGCCAGGCAACATAGGGGAAGGAATCAATCCCCCATATTGAAAAAAATGGGGTGCATGTTAGAATCACAGTGTGTGTGTGTATAATACATACATACACATACACACACACACACATATATATATATAGAGAGAGAGAGAGCTGTATCCGCCACGTTGCTGTGACCAACCTTCCCTCCCTCTTTCTCTCCTTCTTTCGCTCCCTCTTTCCTTCCTTCCCTTTTCTTCTTTCCTTCTCTACTTCCTTCCTTCTCTTCCTCTTCCCTTCCTTCCCCTTTTCTTTTCCTTCCTTTCTCTCCTTTCTTCCTTCTCTTCCTCTTCCCTTCCCTTTTTCTTTCTCCTCTCTCCTTTCTCTACCTTTTTCCTTCCTTCCTTCACTTTTTGCTTCCATCCTTCTCTCTTTCCTTCTTTCCTTCCCTCCCTCTTTCTCTCCTTCCTTTGCTCCCTCTTTCCTTCCTTTTCCTTCTCTCCTTCCTTCCTTTTCCACCTCTTTCCTTCCTTCCTTCCCCCCTTTTCTTTTCCTTCCTTTCTCTCCTTTCTTCCTTCTCTACCTCTTTCCTTCCTTCCCCTTTTCGCTTCCATCCTTCTCCCTTTCCTTCTTTCTTTCCCTCCCTCTTTCTCTTCTTTCTTTCTCCCCTTCCTTTCCTCCCTCTTCCTTCCCTTTTTCTGTATCATCATTTAGCTTTTTGGGGTATTTTGGGGGTGGGTGGGTTATGAGTGATGGTCACTCGTTGGCCTGAGAGGTGTTTTGTGTCCAAATTTCGTGTCAATTCGTCCAGTGGTTTTTGAGTTATGTTAATCCCACAAACGAACATTACATTTTTATTTATATAGATATGTGTGTGTATATATGAGTGATGGTCACCCGTTGCCCTGAGATGAGTCTTGTGTCCAAATTTGGTGTCAATTCGTCCAGTTGTTTTTGAGTTATGTTAATTCCACAAATGAACATTACACACACATATATATGGCTTTTTTGTTGTACTTTTTTCGTGTCAGGAGCAACTTGAGAAACCGCAAGTCACTTCTGGTGTGAGAGAATTGGCTGTCTGCAAAGACACTGCCCAGGGGACATTGCCTGGATGTGTTTCCATCCTGTTGGAAGCTTCAAACTCCAAGAAAGGAGATTCCATCTGAACATGAGGAAGAACTTCCTGACTGTGAGAGCCGTTCAGCAGTGGAACTCTCTGCCCCGGAGTGTGGTGGAGGCTCCTTCTTTGGAAGCTTTTAATCAGAGGCTGGATGGCCATCTGTCAGGGGTGATTTGAATGCAATATTCCTGCTTCTTGGCAGAATGGGGTTGGACTGGATGATGGCCCAGGAGGTCTCTTCCAACTCTTTGATTCTATGATTCTCTCATGTTCCTGCATTAGAAGCTGGAGCTGACAGACGGGAGCTCACCCTGCTTCCAAATTCAAACTTTCGGTAAGCAGTCCGGACAGCACATGGGTTTAACCCATTGCACCGCTGGGAGCTCCAGTTGTGGTACTGAAATTAGCGCACATCTTAAGAATAGATGAAATATGGCAGCGCTTTAATAAAGTGCTTATAATAAAGTGCTTATAATAAAGTGCTTTAATAAAGTGCTTATAAAGGGAAGGAACGCTAGGCACGGCACGTGTCCAAATTATTATTATTATTATTATTATTATTATTATTATTATTATCTTTATTTGTACCCCGCTAGCATCTCCCGAAGGACTCGATGCGGCTTACAAAGGCCAAGGCCTCAACACACAACACAACAATACAAAACCTAAAGCAAATTAAAGCAATTAAAGCAATATTAAACAACAAACAACAAAGAATACATCAAAACACAATAAAACTGGGCCGGGCCAGAGTAGAGGGTACAGAATTAAAAGTGCTGATGTGACATGTGGCTTATAGGGCAAGTGCAGTGGGCGGTGGGCGGCAATCTTAGTTCTAATAAAGTGCTTCTGGGACTTGGTATTGGAGATTTCCTATTCTGGGAAGGCACATCGGAACAGCCAGGTCTTCAAGTTCTTTCTAAAGACTGCCAATGTAGGGGCCTGTCTAAGATCTTTGGGGAGGGTGTTCCAGAGTCGGGGGGCCACCACAGAAAAGGCCCTGTCTCGCGTCCCCACCAAATGTGCCTGTGACGCAGGCGGGATCATGAGCAGGGCCTCTCCAGATGAACAAAGTGAATGCGTGGGTTTGTAGATGGAGATGCGGTCACGCAGGTAGGATGGTCCCAAACCGTTCAGGGCTTTGTAGGTAAGCACCTGCACCTTAAATTGGGCTCGGAAAATAAACGGCAGCCAGTGGAGCTCCTTGAACAGGAGGTTTGACCTCTCTCTGTAAGGAGCACCAGTTAACATCCTGGCCGCTGCCCGTTGGACCAGTTGGAATTTCCGAGGCGTTTTCAAGGGCAGCCCCACGTAGAGCGCATTACAGTAGTCCAATCTGGAGGTGGCTAAGGCATGGACCACCCCGGCCAGATCAGCCTTCACGAGGTACGGTCGCAGTTGGCGCACGAGTCTCAATTGTGCAAAAGCCCTCCCAGACACCGCCGACGCCTGAGCCTCAAGTGTAAGCGATGAATCCAAGAGGACTCCCAAACTGCGGACCTGTGGCTTCAGGGGGAGTGCAACCCCATCCAGCACAGGTTGCCACCCTATACCTCGGTCAGGTTTGCGATCGACCAGGAGGACCTCTGCCTTGTTGGGATTGATCTTCAGCTTGTTCTTCCTCATCCAGATAGACACAGCGGTCAGGCTCTCATCTAGCACTCGAGGGGCTTCCTTGGAGTTCGGTGGAAAAGAGTAGTAGAGTTGCGTGTCATCTGCATAGAGATGGCACCCAACTCCAAAACTCTGGATGACCTCTCCCAGCGGTTTCATGTAGATGTTAAAAAGCATGGGAGACAGAAAGTGCACACCTTCCGGCAGCAAGAGGCTTGAATAGTGGCGAGCCCCTTTTGAGGGCCATTGGCAGGTGGGCTTTTAAAGCTGGAAAGGCAAAGGACTGATATTCCAACCAACGTCTGGTTTATATGCAAAGAGACTTTGCAGCGGCGGAGGCGCTTTCCTGAAGTCGGCGCATCTCTCTTTCCCTTTGTGCCTTAAAAGTGTCACCATGGAGGGCTTATGGTCTGCTGCTAGGCAACGCACATCGCACCGCCTGTGTTTTCAAGGCCCGGTTTGGTGTGGGAAAGGGAGACCAACCCTTGCCTGTGCGCTCTTCCCATCTTTCACCCCAAAGCCATGCTCCGCGTTGGATTCCTGCACCCACTGCCATTCCCTTACTGGGAGCACGTGATCATTCATGCCATGATCCCTCTGAAAAACCACTTCAGCAATCACTCGGTTAGCAATTACAGTTCCCCCCCCCCTTAAGTAACTTAATTAGGCTACAAACATATCAAAAGTCATTACTGCCAATTAAAAAAAAGAATTCATCTCCCCCCTTGGCTTGCTTCTAAAGGCATCGCTGGCTCTCCTGCGCCGAGAGAAAAACCCACAAATGTCTCCTGCTACCCAAAAAGGGAGGCCCTGCTCTCAGTCCCACGCGTCTGGTGGAAACGAGGGGCAGGGCCTTCTTGGTGATGACCCCCCCCCTCATGGAATTCGCTCCCCAGCGAGATTAGATCGGCGTCCTCCCTCCTTTCCTTTAGAAAAAAAAATGGAAATCGTGGTTTTGCTTCTAAAACAAGGCACTGCATTTCAAGAATT